TGGGTTGAGAAAGTGAGTCTTCTACTCTCCCTTTTTTGAGCCAATGATTCATTTTTCAATGTAAGAGGAAAATACAAATAAGTTTTCTTGTATTTTAGAAAAAAAATGTTAAATTCTAAAGTAATACGTTTTATTTTTTTTAAGATTTTATTTATTTATTTATTTATTTATTTATTTATTTATTTATTTATTTAAGAGAGACAGAGTGAGCATGAGTGGGGGGAGCAGCAGAGGGAGAGGGAGAAGCAGACTCCCTGCTCAGCAGGGAGCCTGACATGGGGCTCGATCCCAGGACGCTGAGATCATGACCGAAGGCAGATGCTTAACTGACTGAGCCACCTAGGCACCCTTAAAGTAATACATTTTAGATTTAACTTAAAAACAGAGAAAATTTTCAAAAATTAAAAAGAAATATTACAAAAACAAATTAACAGAAAGTACTTGTTTCTGCCCAGATGCCTGGAGAACTTAAAAATTACGGTGATTATTTATTAGACAATGATGAGATTATAGAGATTATAGCAAGTATAACTGAAGATAGCTAGTAAAAGCACAACAGAGGTTCTGAGAAGGAAAAAAAATTGAGAGCTTAAATTATGCCCTAAACCTACTACTTTAGAACGTGCTAGAAAACATGAGAATACAGAAGCATATATTCCATTAGCCATCAGTGACAATACCATCATGTGTCATGGTAGCCTCAGGAAAATCCATTGTAAATTTGCAAGAGGATGGGAGTGACAGAGGCAAGTAACTTTAGTGTCATTATGAAATTAGTTTTTGCTTCATAGACCAGGGCCTCTAAGGGTTTTGGGGACTGTGGACTGTGTTTTGCAAACTGCTGTTCTAGGTGACTTCTTCCATACTTAGGGCTCCACTGCTGTCTTTATGGTTGTGACACTCGTCTGTATCCCCAGCCCAGACTATATCCCTGAGCCTTAGACTCGTGTGTCCACTGCCTGCAACTTTCTGGACCTCCCTCAGCTGAGTGCTCTCTTACTCTTTGGCCTTTGCCCATGCTGTCTATTCTGCCCAGAGTTTCCTTGTTCCCGTCATTTACCTGGCAAACTATTAGACTGTGAGTTTCTTGGGGCAGGACCTGGGCATCTTTATATCCCTAGGTTTTAGCACAGTGCCTAGCACACTATGCTGCTCAGTAGATGTTGTTGAATTAAATTGAATCAAGGAAGAATTCCAGCCTCATAAACAATAAATTTGCAAATCCACCCTGGGGTAAAGTTTTCTGCTTATGTCTGATGTCATGCATTCTATATTGGTTTGTATCAGTGTTAGTTTTGGAGTAAAGGATTTTATAACCTCTACTCCTATATATTAACTTACTCAACAGTTTCTGTTTTGTTTCCTTTTGCCTTGCCTAGAGTATAATATATTCTGAAAGGAGGGTATTTGGGCTGAGGACACAAACATTTTAATTTTTAGCTTTGTCTCTGACCGTGGAGAGTGTTTCACCAGAAACTTACCAGCTTCTGTCCATTAAAATCATCTGAATTCCACCACGCCTTGTGGAAAATTCATATACATAAATTTAGTTTCTCTGAAGGAAGATGTTCTACTGTCCAAATGAGAGAACTAACATTTACTAAGTTCTTCCTATATGCCAGAGACTATTCTGTGTGTTTTACATACATTAACTCATTTAATATGCATAACAGCTCTTTGGAAGGTAGACTCTTTTGTTATCCCCATTTTATATTAGGAAAATGAGGCACAGAAAGGTTAAGTAACTTGCCAGAGGTCATGTAGATAGTAATGGGGTCTAGATTTGAACTCAGAGCTTAGTTTGGCTCCAGAGGCCATGCTCTTAACTACTGTGAGTAGCTTCCTCTTAAATCTAGATACATTACTTTTATTGTTAATCTGTGTTAGTACACATGCACAGATGCTTATTATTAGTTACATTTGTCAATTAGTTGTATTAGTTATAATTGTCAAATTGAAAATAACCTAATAGCCAAATAGATACTAGTGTATGTGTACAATGGATGGTTATTTAAAAATCAAATTTTTGAAGAATACTTACTGCTATGGAAAAATACAATTGAAAAAGTAAGAGAAAGATCACAGTTTCTATTTGAAGGCACACATAATGGATTTATATGTGCTATATACATTCATCAGTATGCAAATATTTATTTTAAAAGACTGGAGGGGCGCCTGGGTGCCTCAGTTGGTTGAGCGACTGCCTTCGGCTCGGGTCATGATCCTGGAGTCCCGGGATCGAGTCCCGCATCGGCTCCCTGCTCGGCAGGGAGCCTGCTTCTCCCTCTGACCCTCCCCCCTCTCATGTGCTCTCTCTCTCTCATTCTCTCTCTCTCAAATAAATAAATAAAATCTTAAAAAAAAAAAAAACTGGAAAAAAAGTATAATAGTGATTCTTTGTATTACAATTGTGAGAAGTTAAATTAAAAAAAAAAAACTTTAAAAATAACATTTGTTGGACAGTTCCCCTAAATTTAAAAAATACTTTAAAAATAATATTTGTTGAATACTTCCTACATTAATAGGTCCCATATTAAATTCTTCATGGGTGTTTTCTCAGTAAATTCTTCCATCAGTCCCATGATGTAGGTAGTACTCATTTTTCAGATGAAGAATCCTAGAACAATTAAGTAACTTGTCTAGGGTCATACAGCTAATAAGTTGGAACCTCTATATGAGACTCTTTCTGTTTTGTATTTTCTAAACTTTTTATAATTTATATTATTTACATGATCCAAAACAAAATTAAATTTTAAAAAGTATGCAAAAATTGGGAACTACAAGTCAGACTTACACAGTCTGCTAGGATTTACTTATTTGAACCATTGATTCCCTAAACTAGCTATGCAAAATAACAGAAGTCTGGGACTTGGAAGAAATTAGACCGGGCATTTAAAAAGTTTAAATAGACTCACTGGTTTCTCTTCTATCAAGAATTTTTTTTGACCATCTACCATGGGGAGCTGATTATTTTTCTAGAGTGGGTTGCAGGTCTGATGCATATGTTATAGGCTAGTTAACATATGGTAAAGCTGAGCATTTTTTATTGTTTAAGAATTCTTTATTTTTGTTGTGCTTCCTAGTAGTTCCTTTTGTGTTGTTGGATCCCAGGGTGGATGTGGCCAGTGCCCAAAGGAGAAGATTAATGTGTGTGAATATGTGGAATGACCCCATGGACATGGTAGAAGGATTTTTTTTATAGAAATATATATCTATAGTTGACAAATGTATTTAATGAAAGTTAGAGATACTCAGTGACCATCTATAATCTTCAAGAATAACATCAATCACAGAAGGCAACTGTCATGTTTTTCTACAATTATCCCATTGTTGAGGAGTGACTAGTAAGCTAAATGGATCACTGATTGACCCCACAGCATATTTCACATGTTCTGATGGTAAGAGAATTCTGACTTCTCATGTGGTTTTTAACTTGAGGAATATGTGTCATAGCAGGAAAACACAGTTACCTATAAACCTTTGTCTAAAGAATTATTAGAGAATTCTTTTTTTAAAATTATTATGTTAATCACCATACATTACATCGTTAGTTTTTGAGGTAGTGTTCCATGATTCATTGTTTGCGTATAACACCCAGTGCTCCATGCAGAACGTGCCCTCTTTAATACCCATCACTCTTTTGACAGGAGGTTAGTTTGGGAGGGACAACACATAGCGGTTAAGAAAGAAAATGCCCACCTGATCATTTCTATTATATGAATAAACCTTGTCAGTAGAAGGGCAGACTCATGGTAATGAATCAGTGAATGAATGTGTGTGTGTTACTTTATCTATGAAAGAGGGAGCAGGGATACGTGAGTGCCTCAAACACAGACTTAAGTGGATCGCTCCCTTTCATCTATGTAAGGCTACCACTGAAAAACAGAAGAGGACTGAAGTTGTTTATTTTACTGAAGAAAAGTGGGAACCATTTTTCTTAAGATACAACTCTTCCCAACCTTTTCTTCTTCTTTTCGACTTCTTAAAATTCAGTGAAAACATTTCAACATTTTCATATTCTTTCCACTGATCTGGGTGATCCTTTGCTTTCCAGCCATAAAACTTGACTGCAATCCAGTGCCATGTAACGAGCTCCTCTTGCTGGCTCTGTTCTTTAGTCCTGAGTAGGGTGTTTGACTGTCCCACATTCTGCAAGACCCCTGGGAACAGACACACCAGGCGGTTGGTCACCCTGACCCTGACTGTGTATGTTACATTGTAAGGATGGGGCGGGGAGGGTGGCGTGAGAAGGGAGGATGCTGATGGAAAGGTGAATTCCTGAGGTGTGAAGAGAACAGTTTTTTCTTCAGAAGAATGTTTACTATGGCTAAGAAAACATGAAAATCAGTAAGCCAGTGTCTGTGTGCTGAGGAATGAATCAGGGCTTACTGCATTAGACCTGAGTATTAAATGGATCTCTGTGTTTGGTCCTGCATTCTTCATACCTATACTAAAGGACAAATGGGGATATAAGAGGAATACCATAATGATTCTGAGCCTTCCCTAAACATAGAACAGTCTGCTGTCAGTGGGTTTTGGTCCTAAGTACACTCTTTCCTGCTCTGGGAAACCTTATCTTAGCAAATGGAGAAGTGAACATTTTTACCTTTTTTCTTTTTAAGATTTATTTGAGAGAGCGAGTGAGCGAGCACAAGCAGGGAGAGCTGCAGAGGGAGAGGGAGAAACAGACTCCCTGCTGAGCAGGGAGCTTGACCAAGTGGGGCTCAATCCTGGGACCCCAGGACCATGACCTGAGCCAAAGGCAGACCCTCAACCAACTGAGCCATCCAGGCACCCCATATTTTTACTTTCAAATATAAGGCCTTTTTGCAGTTACAGACTACTTTAAACATTCTTCATCTAGATCTATATTAATACTTAGAGTAAAACTTCCTGTAACATATCTGCTAGATCAATTTCAGGTTTTACTTTTGCCTTGATGTCCCTTAGTGATCTTGTCTTTGTCCCCTTACTCTTGTTCTTGGTTTCTGACCTTACAGAGAAGTGTGGGAAATGGAACTGGATAGACTCAAGAATCAGGATGGTGAAATAAATCGGAACATTATGGAAGAGACAGAACGGGCCTGGAAGGCAGAGGTGAGAAGAGCTCTGTGTGGAAAGCCTTGATTTGGGGCTTCCAGATAGTATAACACTCTTTGGGTATAGTGTTATACCACTAAGCCATACAAGTATTGTACTTTATAGCCACTAAGCATTTGTTTTAACTAGCTGGGGGAAGCTTCATGTATGTAAAATTAATAAAGTGTGTGTGTGTGTGTGTGTGTGTGTGTGGTTTCCTTAGATCTTATCACTAGAGAGTCGGAAAGAGTTGCTGGTATTGAAACTAGAAGAAGCAGAAAAAGAGGCAGAACTGCACCTTACTTACCTCAAGTAAGTACCCTCCCATCCTAGAGTTTTAATGGTCCTGCAGTTTTGTGTTTTCTTGGTGATTTTTTTGGTTTGGTTTCGTTAGTTTTTTGAAACCCGAGGCCCACTAGTCTGGCACTTACTCTGTCTTCTCAGGAATTTCAGGGCCACCTCTGTCTGCACAGTAGCCATTGTTCAGTCATTTCTCTTCCCATATTTTATAGTTTTGTATTTTTTATTGTATTGGTTCCAACTGGATAAACAATATCTCTTATGGTGTCAAAGCATAACAAATATCTTTGGAGATTTGTTTCTCATAGAGTCATTTCTCCTCTTTCTGCCGTGGAATCTGGAGGACCCCTGTGACATTTCCAGGCGGACAAAAGCCCTCTTTCTGTGGTTGCTCCTCTTTCTCTAATAATTGGTTTAAAAGATGCCAGAGTGAGAGTGAAGCACACAGACCCCGGCCTCCTCCTATACCTGGTCTGACCTTTTCTCACCAGGACCGCTGACCAGCCACTGTCCTGCTATCTCAGAGAGTCAGGAGCTGGCCTTGCTCTAATTCTCTGAATTCCTGTTGATTTCTTGAAAGGTCAACCCCCCCAACACTAGAGACAGTTCGTTCCAAACAGGAGTGGGAAACAAGGCTGAATGGAGTTCGGATGATGAAAAAGAATGTTCGGGTAAGTGTTGTACTGTGTGATCTTTGAGTCAGGGTTCAGGCTGTGCTTAAACCTGTGGTGACCAGAGGGACCTTGTACATCGGCACTGAGGGGCTGCTCCACCCCTGCCTTTGCTCTCCTGATACTGGAAGGTGCTCTCTTTCTCAAGAGGCTTACTCAGCTCAGCAGAGAGGATGATCTGCTCCTTTCTCTCTTTTCTAGGACCAGTTTAACAGTCATATCCAGTTGGTGAGGAACGGAGCCAAGCTGAGCAGCCTTCCTCAAATCCCTACTCCTACTTTGCCTCCACCCCCATCAGAGGTGAGAGGGATGGAGTGGGGGAGTCTCCCTTTCTGTGCTGGTGGCACGGCCAGAGTCTTCTGCTTGCTCCTTTTATGAAGAGATTGGTTTTACTCCTGGTATTATTTATTATAACATTATTATTGGCCATTATTATTGTTGATCTTATTTGGCATAAGAATTGCTCACTGATTTCCGCTCCAGATTCGTAAACTTTCATTTTCTTCCTTTCTCTCTTGTCCTCCACCTCTCTCGCTCTACAGACAGACTTCATGCTTCAGGTGTTTCAGCCAAATCCCTCTCTGCCTCCTCGGATGCCCTTCTCCATTGGGCAGGTCACAGTGCCCATGGTTATGCCCAGCGCAGATCCCCGCTCCTTGTCTTTCCCAATCCTAAACCCTGCCCTTTCCCAGCCCAGCCAGCCTTCCCCGCCCCTTCCTGGCTCCCATGGGAGAAACAGCCCTGGCTTGGGTTCCCTCGTTGGCCCCCACGGTCCACACATGCCCCCTGCTGCCTCCATCCCGCCTCCCCCAGGCTTGGGCGGTGTTAAGGCTTCTGCTGAAACTCCCCGGCCCCAACCAGTAGACAAACTGGAGAAGATCCTGGAGAAGCTACTGACTCGCTTCCCACAATGCAATAAGTAAGTATCTTTCAGGACTAATTTAAAAGCAAAAAAAACGTGTCGGAGAAATATCTGTGGGTCAAAATAGGGGAAGTTTCCTGGAGATCTCTCACAAGGACGGCATAGAATCTCTCTCCCTCAACATGTGGCTGCTTAGGGCCCAGATGACCAACATTCTTCAGCAAATCAAGACCGCACGGACCACCATGGCAGGCCTGACCATGGAGGAACTGATGCAGTTGGTAGCGGCCCGCCTGGCCGAACACGAGCGGGTGGCAGCCAGTACCCAGGTGAGAGCTCAGACCTGCTCAGCTGTTGGGGAAGAGGCAGGTTTCAGAGGCACTGGGGGCGGCCCATAGCACTGCAGCCAGAGGTCTCTAGCCTGCTTTCTTCCTTTGCTGCACTGGGAAAGAAATGATTTATTTTTGTTATCTGCTCTGTCGCTCAGACTTTCTCTCCTTACTCTGACATTGTTTCTGCCCACAGCCCCTCGGTCGGATCCGGGCCTTGTTCCCTGCTCCGCTGACCCAAATCAGTACCCCAATGTTCTTGCCTTCTGCCCAAGTTTCGTATCCTGGAAGGTCTTCACATGTAAGGCTCTTTTTCTTTGAAAACTGGGTTGTGGAGAAGCTGGGGGGTGAGGAGGGAACAGGTTTACAGATGCAGTGCCGGAAGAAAAACTACCCTCTCGTCAGCTGGGTTGTTCGCAGCCCCAGCTGAGAAAATGCAGGTACTTCTGGCAAGAATCTGTATTTGAACTTTCTTTTGGTGTAAAACCTTTTGCGACATGGAAATAGGAGATGGCATCATGGGCACAAGAGGCGAGGAGACCCAGAGGTTCCTTACTCTTTGGCCATCCCTCCTCTGTCCTGCAGGCTCCAGCCACCTGTAAGCTGTGTCTAATGTGCCAGAAGCTTGTCCAGCCCAGTGAGCTGCATCCAATGGCGTGCACCCATGTGCTACACAAGGAGGTGGGTGCTACGGACCTTCTTCTTTCCACTCTGTTTTCGGAATTTTTCTGGAACGTGTTGCTGTGTATCAACTCATCATTAATATCTCAACGTGAGGTTTTCAGTAAGTTGTGGCTTAAACAATCAGCAGATTTCAGAATGCTGGCAGCTAGGATCTCCTAGCTTCCTTTTACCCCGTTCTCTTTAGGGGACTGGATCAGCAGTACATCCTGGAGCACTGATAGGTCACTTTCTTGGAACACTGACAATAAGACATACATATCTAACCATTGTTTCGAATATAGCATTGTCAGGAGACTTTGCTTAGACAAGAAGAACGGAATAGGGAACATGAAGATGAGATTAGTAAATCCATTAACAGAATAGCTTGGAGGTCTGCCTGTTAAGGATTATCTTCACAAACTGACAGGTTATTCCTATCTTGGATTATGTTACCAGACAGAGTTAAGTCTTTCAGCAGCAGGGATGATTCCTTCTTTGCTATTTTGTTTTGTTCATTTTCATTTTTCAAAAGGTAGAAACTGGATTTACATCTAAGTTCTTAGGAAAAATCCTGAATAAGATTTGAGGGTGGTGGGTATTTGGAGTTGGGAGTGCATCTCAGCCTAAACAGATCATGAGAAGGGGAAGGCCACCCCAGATATCCAACACAGAGCAGCTTCACACCATTCTTAGCTGATTGTTAATGTTCCCTGTAAGAAGAACAGGTTCCCCTGCTCTGAAGATTCTTTTGGGGGTAAGAGCCAATGAAATAGCCCATCTGGTCCCGATGGTAAGAGCCCTTCTGCCTTAGTATGCGTTCCTCAGACCAGTGAACCTCAGTGGCACACTCTCCCCTCCTTCCCTCCATCTTTCCGGATAAACCTGAGATATGTCTTTCTTCCTTTCCAGTGTATCAAATTCTGGGCCCAGACCAACACAAATGACACTTGTCCCTTTTGTCCAACTCTTAAATGATGGACCTGACTGGGGAGGAAGAAGAGGAGAAACTGATGTGAACAGGAAGCGCGGGTTCAAGATTTCTAAAACTCTATATTTATACAGTGACCTATACTCATGCCATGTACATTTTTATTATATAGGTAATGTGTGTATAGAAAGTCTGTATCCAAATGTCCGTAAATGAAAGTATGTATATTATGCAGAAATGGTCTCTCCCTCTCACCTTGCAATTCCTTCGGGGGATGCAGATTGTAGGTAAGATGATGTTTAGTTTGCCCTTGAAATTATGATATCCTTGCCTGGGGCTGTTTTCAAGTACAATATAAAAACCATCTAGGAAGCTGCTGTTGCCCTAAGGCCATCCTGCTTTGATTTGGCTCAGCCTCTAGTTCATTTTCTTAAGGCTCATGTATGCAGATTTGAACCCTGGTGCTCACCTGCTGTCCAACCAGATGCCTTGCTTACTGAAAGCCTACGGAAGCCTCAGTGTTGTTCTAGCCACTCGACTCCAAATGGATAAAATGAGACTGATTGAGGAAAAAAAAAATGTAACCCTAATAGTTTGAATTTTCATTGAATATTTTACTGTGTTAACGCTCATTATTTGCACATAGACATTAGGTTTACAGAATATTCTGTTTTACATCAGCAAAATTCACAGTCCAAGAATACCAACATAACTGGGTCCCATTTCTCCCATGCCCCCCAAAAGCTTCTGTCCATCTGACTTCCTGGATAGGCCTCTCTTTAGAAACTAGCACAGCCCACAGATCTTTCCTGGGCCAAACCATCCCTTGCTGCCACTGACTTGGCTTCCGATCAAGCTCTGACAGACCAACCTTGTGAAGGCCTCACCTCTTCCCCTTCACTTCTGGTCTCCTGGTCAGTTAGTCCCCCTCCCCACTGAAGGTTAAGGCAGTTGGTTCACAACCAAGTTGTTTGGTGACCTTGGGTGAGCTCTAGGCAGGCACTGGGGTGAGGAGATGTCTGTGCAAAATTACTTGCAGAATGATGCCAGATTTTAATTTTTGAAGCAAGAAAATTATGGGGGACATGTTTCCTATCCTGGGAAAAATGGAGGCCAAAGTGACATGAAGGGGGGTTGGAGTTCAAGTTTAGAAGTCATTTGTTCTATAGATAGCTGTCTAGAACGAGATCGCTTTCCCACCTCTGCTTATTGAGCACTTCTGGTGTTTAGGTTTATACCTGTGAAAGCTGTGAATCTCTGAGAGCTTTGACTCTTTTCCTGTCCTTTTTTCTTTGCTCCTACAGGAAATGGCTTCAGCTTCCTTCTCTTTTGGATTAAACAAGGAAAAACTTAAGTGTTAATTAAAAAAAAAACCAAAAACACTAGCTCCAGGGGAAGGACATCATTGTATTACCAACAGCTGAATTGTTCCCGTTCTGGGACCTGGACATACTTCCTGGTGCTGGCAGCACTGTCCGGGTAGCAAACACTTTCCCTTTCAGATCCAGTTATATTCCCTGCTCTCTGCTTTTGATCTTTTCCTTCTTTGTCCTTCGTCTTTGCCTATCAGCCTCTTAGACGTAGTCCTTCCCTTCTTTTGCCTTACTTGCTCAGCCTTGTTGACTAGCATCATTTTCAGGAGCTGGACTTCCCAGGACCTCCTTGGCATCTTGTAGGGTGATTGAAATGGCCTGAGTTCTCACCTCTGTAGAGGTCAGGTGACTCACTTTCTTTGGTTAATGAAATATTAATGTCTCCAGTTTGGTAGCTATCATGAACGGAAATGTGGCAAAATGGAAGACCAGTTCCTTTGTTCTTTTCATTTGGGGGATTCATTTTTTTCTCTTGCAATCAAAAGATTTTCTCTCTCATCAACTTTGCAGTAGTAGCCTTTAGGCCACTAGCAATATTTTTCAGTATTACCTAAAAATCTAGAAATTAGGAATGGATATAAAGGCTATTCTCTTTTCCACAGATCTTTGAAGCCAAAGGAATATAGAGAGAAGAAAGGAAGAAGTTGTGGGGGGAGCTTATCCGCTTCCTAGTAAAAGCCCCTTGAAAGCCAACTAAAGCAGGAAGACAGATGTTTTGGGGAGCTGTGTGCGAGAGCTGGGGCCTCTGTGTTGCTCTTTTCTCTGTCTTGTTCGGGATCAATCAGAAAGCAACATTTAAGTTTTGGCCACCCTTGTTCTCCCTTCTCCCTCTGTCTCCTGGCCTGCAGGGGTAGAAGCCATGCAGACTGGCGGGAAAGGCCTCTAATGCAGTGAGTAGAGATGGGACAGTCGCTTTTCAGGAGTCGACTCTAAAAATAGAGATAGATAATACATATTTTTACAAGCAAGAAGCTGTTGTCGAGATTTTTTTTTTTTTTACACTTAGAGTTAAAGTTTCAGGGTAGAAAGGAAGTAACGGTAAAAAGAAAAATAAGTACAAGTTTTTTTTTAAAAAATATGACAGTGGGACTTAACTAATGAAGGGGTTGAGTATTATGCCCTGGAAAGAGCTGGGGAAAAGCCAGTTTTCCCCAACATGGATAGAAATTATAAAGCAGAATGTGGCGTTTTTATTACATGGTAGCAATTCTGGAAGTTTATTTACACAGTAAGTTCCGAGCTGGAAACGGACACTCTCCAGTCTTCCTGACAGTCTCTGTGGTTAGGGGTGTTCCCAGTCGGCCAAAGCAGCACCAAGTACAAGGGGAATGAAGAGAACCCAGATAAAGAACTGTGATTCAATATTCTTGTTTTATTGGTTTATGGCTTGTGGGCAGCTGGCCGAGGCCAGGGTCTCCAGAGGCCCTCCTTGTATTTCCCTTTCCCTCATCAGGTAATTCCACACTCGGCAGGTCCCATCCCTGGAAGCAGTGTGTTGACAAGCTAGCGACAGGACCCGGTGGGTATACGAGGAGAATCACGTCTTCCACTAACCCTGGTATCAGAGTTGACTGTGTTAGAACTGATCGGGAGGAAATGAACTTGGTCCCCACTACCTAGCCCAAGAACCAGCCTGGGTACCCAAGTACTATTCGGAGTGGGGAGTAAGGAGTAAGATAGGGGAGAAGGATGGCATCCCCTGAGGGGCTCTGGTGGTGAAGGAAGTACGGAAGCCCTGAGGCTGGCAGCCTTTCTCTAGCAGCCTTGTTATCGAAGGCAATGATGCTAGAGCCAGAAAGCCCTGCGTTTCTGACACTGGGTGTAATACTAGTGCCCCTGTGGGGTGCCTTAGCCAAGTAATGGAGGGGACATCAGAGAGGGTGAGAAGGCGATGAAACCGCTCTGTATCGTGTGGAGATCTTACTACTACTTACTGCTGAACAGGAAGAAATCCAGGCAGAGGCACCAGGGCATCAACCCTGTACCTTCTGAGTGAACCTTGATGATTCTGCTTTCAAGGGTTAAGAAAGAGAGGTCTCCTGTGTATCCCTCTTAGCACCTCAGCTGCAGAGCTCCAGAGGAATAGGGGTTTGGGGGTGGGCGTGAACACGTAAGCAGGAAGACAGAGCCAGGCCCTGCTCTATTTGGTGTGTTCCAGTTGCTTCTCATAGGGCACCTGGGGCTGGGGGTGGGGGGTGGGAAGTGTCAGTGTTAACCTAGCGTGTGTGGAGTAAAGGGTTCAGGTAGAGACAAGTGGAATCATTCAGGTAGAAATTCATTTGTTAGATGGAACTTCTTAGTGGGCACTTTTCATTTAAGAGAGTTAAAAAGAGCTTTTTGCTAGGTAAGCCCTTCTTCCCAACTCACTTTCGGTCAGGCTACAACCACAGAAAAAACATCGGGCAGCGACGCCCATCTTATAAGATGGGCTTCTATCTTGGAGATGCAGTCTGAAACTGGGACTGGCGAGTGGCCGTGGTTCTGCCTTTTCTAGCTCTGATCCCAGCTGTTCCCTGTCTTTGCGCTCCCTCTCCTCTCCTCTTCCAACCGCCCCATCTGTACAAATATTCAGTCTCATTTTTAATTCACGCGGCAGTCTTTGTACCAATGTTAGGCTTGTTTCTGCAGTCCCTATCACTAAAGCAAATCGCAAACCGTGCGTCCGTTCCTACTGACTTTGGTCAGGGAAGCGGCGTTGGCCCTTTCTCTGCCGAGGGTACGGCAGAGAGACGCTCACGGGGGTGACTTGGCTGTGATGCCACTACTTCTGGAACTAAGAAGAGAAGACTACTTCGGGTTGGAGAATCCAGAGGGGTGGTGGGCAAAGGTTCAAGGCTGAAGAATTTCCCAACTCGGGCTGGAGGTGACCACGAATATTCCCGCCACCAGAGTGCTGCTTTCTTCCCTCTCCCGATTCCTACAGGTGCCATTCCTGTAACCCACCGTGCCCGCCCGCCCTTCTTTTCGGGCAGGGCAGAGGCATTTGGTGGGTAGGTGAGGGTCTTGAGGTGCTCTGGCCACCAGTGCCAACAGTGCGTCCTGCTCGTGCCCAGAGTGAGCCCGCAGGTGCGGCCAGGAGAGTCCCTGTCTCCTGCCCGTGGGCCGCCTCACTTCAGCAGGGAGATGTCGTCGGCAAAGTCACCGTGTTGCTGGCGCAGGCAGCGCAGGCAGCGCCACTGGCACACCATGAGGCAGAGCGGCAGCATGAAGAGGGCGCAGATGGCCGCCATGACGTAGGCTATGGTCATGAGGGTCGACTCGTCTGTCTGTGGGATGTTGTAGCCACAGTCTTCCATGTCCGGGGTCATAAACGGGCCTTCCACTGCTGCCGTCCTGAACTCATCATGCACTGGAGAAAGGGCAAACGCGAATGGGCAGCTCTCACCGTCACACAGCAGTTTGGGTCACAGAGCAAAAAGAACTTCCTGGTAGGCCTTGAAATCAGCCCGCGAGGAGGCCCTAGCATCTCCTCCCTTGGAGATATTTAGGAGCAGGCCAGAGGAGCCTTGCTAGGTAGAAGCACGTCTCTCCTCCCGGGGCACTGGGAGCAACAACCCTTTCCTGGATAACCATGCGGCAGGAATGATACCTAAAGGTCAGTCTCCTGAGTTGACCAAAAAGACAGCCCCGTGTATTCCTAGTACACTCACCGGCTTCCGCCGGTACCGAAGACCCCGCCGCCGTTCTGAAGGCACACCCGGCCCCATCGTGTAGCAGCCCACGGGGCCCGGGGATCTAGAGCTTCCCTAGGGGCCGAGGCAGCTCTTGCTGGTCCGGGCCTCCGGCGGAGCTACAGCCCGGGGAAGGCCTCGCCGCGCCGGGCACACGGACAAAGCATGGGCCCGGACGCTAGCTTTGACACCGGCTGTTGGCTCTGCCTCAAGGCAACTGTGACTACCTCCCAGGCTGACAGGGGCCCAGGGATCCTAACTGCCGGACAGTGAGAACACGGACAGACGGAGCCCACACCCTCCCCCCTGGCTCTTACCATGACAGGCACTGACGGCAAAGCCAATTCGTTTTCGGGCCCGATCAAAGACGACGTAGAAGCCCTCCATGATCACAGCTCCCATCACAGTGCCCGTGGAGGACTGTGAGATGGCGAATTTGTAGCAGTCGTCTTGGGACGTGGCCACGTCTTCCACTGGCCGCAGGTATTGCTAAGGACAAGCAGTCAGAGGGAGAAGGGTGTCCTCCTCGCTGCATCCCTCCCCCTCCCTGCCTCTGCCTTCTAGATCTCTGTGCCCAGGGGCCGCTCTTCCCTCTGCCATCCCCGAGCTCTGTGGGCTTGCTTTGTGCCGCAGGACGCTGCTGTCTCTTGTCTTCCACGTTCTGCGAAGCCACGCCGGCTCCCTGTCTCCCCGTGTGAACCGTGCCCTCTTCCTGGGACCCCACCAACTCCGGCTGGGGACATACCTGTGGAAGGATGGTGATGCGGAAGGACTGATTGGTGACCTCGCCCATTAGGTAGAGGGAGATGACCGGGAAAATGTTCCAAGGGGTGGTGCCTGCCTGCCAGCATACCAGCTGCTCCCCCAGCCAGAACCCGTCCGGAAACTTCTCCGTCTGTGTGGCCAAGAAAGGGTAACAGTGAGGAAGCCGCCTCTTCCGCCATCGCGCTTCTCCCACTTTCAGATAACACTGGGCTCTCTTTTTGCTTTTCTATGGACTATCCAAATTGGGGAAGGGCACACTGAAACCCAAGAATTAGGGGAAGAGAGCTGGAGGGTGAGGCCAAAACTCTGTACCAGGGGGCCTGTAGAATGAGCAAGCCGAGGCCCATGAAAGAGACTCGCTCTGAAGACATTTAAGTAGAAGGATCTAAGGGTAGACAGCTTGTCCCTTGTTGAGGGGACAAGGGACCTTCATGGACTTCCTCTGACACTGCATCATCTCTTGGACCCCTGCCCTGAGTCCCACTGACCGAGGAGGCTGCCTTGATGGATTTGACAGCAGCTTCAAACACTTTCTTGGGCAGACGAAGATTGGTGGTGCCACTGTCCACGATGCTCTTGTCGTAGTTGTACTAGGAGGGAGAAGAGAGGTTTAGAAGAGTCAAAAGCCTTGTGTGATGCTGGGCTCTGGCCGGAATCAGAAGGGGGGATCTGACTGCTTGGGGTGGCATCCTGGCTTGGCACTTCTCTTAGGAGTGTACCCTTGGGCAAGTTGTTCAGCCTCTGTGCCTCCGTTTCCTCGTCTTTAAAATGAGGATAATAACAGCACCTACCTCAAAGAGTTATTATAAGGATGAAATTAATACATGTGAAGTGCTTAGAATGGTGTCCGGCACGTAGGGAGCGTTCAGTAAATGCTAACTCTTAGTATCTTGGGTTGGGCAGACATTCTCCAAATCTTGAAAATAAAAATACCTTGTATAGTGCTTTTAACTTTTCATAGTCCTTTTATATCTATTCTCTTTGAACATACATTAAGAATCTAGGTAAGGAAGACCCAAATGGTTGAGCTACCGTTTATTGGGAACTTCTGTGTGCCAGGCACTGGGAGAAACAACTTATTTTCTCTGTCTTCATCACAATCTCTGGAAAAGCTGTTTTTCCCTCTGTTTTGCAGATGAGGAAACTGAAACACAACCTAGTAACTTGCCTGAGGGCACATAGCTAGTAAATGGCAGAGCTAGGAACCCAGGTCTTCCCAGTTCCAAAGCTGGACGCTTCCGCTACATCATCCCACACTGCCCCGCACATGACTTGCCCAAAGCCGTCAAGCAAGGCAGTGACTGTGGAGTCCAGACATGCTTTTTTTTCCCTTACCAGACCATAAGCCCCAAGGTCCCCTTGCAAGTGCCCTGCCAGTCCCTTGCCCCCCAACTTCAGGTCCTGCTGTGTCACCATTAAGCTCCCAATTGTTCTGGGCTCAGCCCCCAACCCTTTCTGCAGGTCCTACTCCTCTGCCTCATCCTCCCAATCTCATAACTCAGGGTCTGACCTCATGCTATGTTGCCTCCCCCTTCCCTTTCCCTGGGTCCCCCTTGGTGGTGTTACCTCCTTGCAGTCCATTTTCAGGTCCTGCCCGTTGATCTCCACCCGCACAATGATGACCTCGTAGTACCACTCCCGCCGGATGGGTGTGTACCAGAGGCTGCCCGTGTACAGTGAGTGGTCGATACCTCCGATGATCTAGGGACAAAGGGAGGCAGGTACCCGTGTCCCGGCACAGAGGGACAGCAAGTCACCCAGAGAGCAAGCAGTGGGATCAGAGATTTCTGGGAGGGTAGCAAGGCCCTTCACAGGCCACCTTTCTCATCTTCCTGCTTCTAATCAAATCCTGTCCCAAAGTGATTTGTAGTTTCTTAAGTGTTAAGAATATATCAGGGGAAGACTTTACAGGATTTTAAATTATTTGTTTCAGAGTCTCACAGCCCTCAATATAAAGTTATTTAAACTTAAACTGGCACAATAAATGTTAAATGAATGATTATTTGCTTCTATTTCAAGTTTTATGTTCTCTGCGTGTTGGAGATGGAGAACCATTCACCAACTGTCCTAATTAATTAATAAATAGACTTTTAACTCCTTACATCGCTGCCTTCTGCTCATCAGACTGAATCATCTTAATTTGAGAGGTCTTATTTTCTTTCTTCTTTTTTTTTTTTTAAGATTTTATTTATTAGAGAGAGAGAACGAGTGGTGGGGGCACAGAGGGAGAGGGAGAAGCAGACTCCTGGCTGAGCAGGGTGCCTGATGTGGGGCTCGATCCCACGACTCTGGGATCATGACCTGAGCTTAACCGACTGAGCCACCCGGGTGCCCCGAGAAGTCTTATTTACATTTCCTTTGAAGTTCCCTAATCATTTCATCCTTTCCAAGTTTACCATAGGTACCTGGAATCCTTTCTGGAATAATGCAAAGAAGAAAAGGATGGAAAAGGAAAAGTGGAGGTGGGGAGTTTAAAGAGGTTTCTCTTGATTCTAAGTAGTGGAGCCCAAGACTGTGCGGTAGCTTAGAGGGAGGGGAGGCAAGTGATACCCATCCCTCTGCCCAGTGCTAGAACCTCCCCTCTCCTAGGACCTACTCACCATGCTCCCTCCAACTGAGGCCAGCACTTCCGACTGGTTGAGGGGGAACCCAGCACCACAGAGCTGCAGGGAGAAGAGGTTGGGAACGTGGGTCTGCTTTACCAGGGAGTCAAAGAATGGCTCCAGGGAGTCATCGGGCTGTGGCAGAAAGAGACAAGGAGTGAGGCCTCACACAGAGGGCCCTATGGAAAGAGGCCAGCTTCCTGCCTAAACTGGAAGGCAAGAGCAAAACTTGGGGGATGTTCCTTGGGAAAGACTGTCCTGAAGTACTGCGATTTGGCAGAGAGGGTTAGCAAGAGACACTGGCACAGTGCAAACAGGAAAGAGCTATAGAATCTTTGATCCCCATATGCTTAACCTGTTTCAGGTTTGGCGGGGTGGGGGGGTTCCCTTATTCCTAAGATCTTGGGAGTCGGTAGAAACCAGACTCTAATCTTGCACCTGTCACAGCATCCCTCAGTATAGTCCTGGCCTCTGCAGGGACGAGATTCAGACTGCCACCCTGTCCCCCTGCTAACTAATCCTTTAGGCTGATCTGTGTCCCTCCCTTAGTCAGTTCCCCTTCTCTCCGAGCCCGTCCCGGGGTAACATGCAGTGTGCGGTGCAGACACAGGGCCCCGAGCTCGGCCTTGCTCCTCTCACCCTGGCGATCTCAGCATAGGCCAGCCCCAGGATGCCCTCCCAGTTGGAGCCATTGATGAAGAACTTGTCTGATTCAGTGATGGCAGCGATGTTGGCGCGCACAGTGACGTTGGGGCCATGGGGGATGCTCACCAGGTCGGTGCCCAGCTCCCCCTCCCACTTGCCCTGGGTGTAGGGCACATAGACGCCCTTCCGGAGGTCCCGGTATGTGCTGGACCTGTGGAGAGGAGGCAGAGGTCTGTGGGGGCGTGACCGCAACACTTGCAGGGGGACCCAGCATCAGACCTACTCCCGAGGCCTCACCTTATCTCAGGGGCATCCCACATAAGATAAGATGCTTTCAGGCTGCTCAGCAGAACATCCCAGATCCATCACCCAGAACAGAACGTACAGTAAGCTTGCAAACAGATGAGGGGAGCTGTGGCTGGGGCTCACTCTCCTGTCTCCACAGCTCCTATCCCTAGATCTCGAGCTCAGGCCCTGCGGGGAACAAGCCTAGGCTTTGTGTATTGTGCCCGCTGCCGCCGAGGAACAGCTAGCAGGCATCTCTTCCTCCCCCCGGCTCCATCAGGCTCCCAGAGAAAAGGGGCCTTTGACTGTCGCTGCCTTGGGACCCGGTGGTACCATCTGAGTGGTAGAGAAAGTGCCAGGCGCGGTGAACGTGCAACCTCTACAGCAAGTTCTTCCAAAGGAAGAGTTGGCACAGCATCTCAGCAGAGCAGGTAAGTATTACACACCACTCGTATGGAACATGCGCATCAGCACAGGACACCCTCGCCCGTGTCTCATTGTGCCACTATCCAGGCCTTGTGTGTGTGCCTGGTTCGGGGTGGGGCGGGCAGTGATGGGACTGGGACAGGGATCCGGAGTGAATCCCTTTCCTGGGTCCTCACCACGCCCCACTCCCTGTCTGCTTTCTTCCGATAGGGAAGGCAGAAGATGTGGCAGGTGGCTTTGGCATCTGCCTAGAAGTCCAAGAGTGGGATGTAAGCCTCTCCTCACAGATTTGCGCACACAGAGACGCCTCAGACACTAGATGTCTTCTCGCCACTTCCTGTGTTTACGCTAAGGAGGCTCCCACATCATTCCTCTTTGCCTCTTACCTTAAAAACCCACTTCAACCCTCCCTTCCACCGGTTAGCTAGATCCGGCTGATGGAACTCTGGGTGGTGCAGGGAGACATTTTAGCTGTCGGGCCCTGACACCGGTCCAGGCAGTGGGGCTTATGGAAGGCTCTTGCTCCACTCCCTTGAACTCTGCAGTGCCACCCGCAGCAGCCCCGGGCTGAGAGCACGGCACGGGGAGCGGTCATGGTAGCCTGCTCTGCCTAGACTTCGTTGGTCTCGCCGGACACCCGACAGCCATTGTGGGGGGTGCGGGGTGCGGATGAAGTCTCCAGGCAGAGAGAAGAAGACCCTGAGATGGCTCTGGGAGCACTGGGGCTCCTCTCCTTCCTTCTTTCCCTCCCCAAGGAAGCTGCCCTGTCTCGGTCCTGAAGAACTTCCTGCTGGCCCCTCAACCTACCCTTTCCCATAGTAGACCTCCTCAAATCCCCCCTCTCCACTCTTCTCTCCTGGAAAGGATCTGAGGAGCTCCTCTTTCTCCCCGAAGCCCTCCCCTGACCCTTCCGGGCCCTGGATCCTTGGGAAGCGTTCTTCTCTCTAGCTCTCCCCAGGACTCACAGCTGCCTCTGGTAGTAGCGATGTAGGAAAGGGTGGGGGGCAGCCCCCACTGCAAAGTTACTGCTGCCTGTGTCCACCAGGATGTTGAGCTGTCAGAGAAAGGGGAGAGAAAGATGTTATCAACGTGAGGCTCTGGGCTCACTCCCTTCATTGTCCTTCACTCCACGGGCAACAAGGTCTCCCTTTGGAATGTCCAGGGCGAAGCTTCTAGGATGCAGGACTGGACAGCCTGGCACCTGCTACCACCATGACCACAGACAGAATGTGGCATCCTCTGACATCCTCAGCATGGCCTCTTGTCTGCTCCTGGCTTCGCTGTGGAATCCTAACATTTTCTGTGTTGTCAAAGCCACGTTATCTCTGCGTCTGTGTGGTTTTCATTTCTCTTTTCTCTCTACCTTCAGACTGCCCTTACTCACTTCGGGTACCTGTCCGATTCTGTCTGCGGGGCTTGTGCCTTGCCTCCTTCTCTGGTCCTCCTAGGAAGCATATCACCCAGCGGGCAGCTGGGCTCGCATCCCCGTCCAGCTTGGAAATGCTATTCCAGGAGCTGGCACTGGCCAGGGAAGCTGCGGGGACCAGGACGGCGTCATCCTGCTGTTTCTGACCCTGCCTGCCAGAATGCGGCTCCCCACGAAGGCCTCCCCTTCTGTCTCTGAGGTGACACAGGCCTCTGAGTCCTACTATCAGAAAATAGTAGGGAGCAGGAGCTTCCTCTGTTGTCACGGTGAAAACCCATCTCGTCAGGGCCCTGGGTTTTGGCTCTGTGAATCAGGACAGGTGTCTTCCCAGTGCTCCTTGCTGTGCAGCTCCTTCGAGCATTTCTTCTTTCTTGACCCTCCTTTCTCCTTCAACCGCCTGATCCCTCCCTCGGCCCAGAGCTGCGTTCTGAATGCCAGTAGCATCCTCACAGGCCAGAAGAGGAGATGCCCCTGTCCTCAGAAGCACGGAACCCTGAGAATTCAGCCCTCTCGTGCTGACTTTTCATGCCCATCAGCTCAGCGGCTCCCCTGACCTCAGGGCCCTTTTACTCCCGTGTCCTCTCTCCTCAGTGCAGTGAAATCAGCTGACCTCAGTTTTGGTGCAGGCTCTGACCTCGTCACCTTGGGCAAGTCACTGTGCTCCTCTGGGCTTCAGGTTCCTCCTCCCTGCCAGGTCCTCTGGCTCCTTCCCGCTCTCGGTGGCCCTTGTGGCTCTGTAGGCCGCCCCTCCCCCAATGCCTGTGGAGGCCTCCTGGCCTCCCCGTGTCCCCCAAGACGCCTCCTCTGGTCCCCACGGTGGCCCCAGCCCTCTGACCCTGGCCCGCCCTCCTTCCCGGCCCCCCACTCCTGGCCCGGTTCCCATCCCCCTCCCCGCCCTTCTTCCCCATGGCCCCCCCCCCCCCCCCCCCGCCCTCTCCAGGGTCTGTGGGCGGCCACCAGCTCAGCGGGCTGTGCTTTCACAATCAATAGAGCTGGAGGCGCAGCAGTTCCGATTTCAGTCAACCAGGTTAATGATTAAAACGGCTTCTCGGCGCCCCCCCCCCCACCTGCCAGGCTCTGCTCCCAGCACTCAGGTTGGCCTCATTCTTACAGGGATCCCTACTATCACTGGACCCCAAAGAAAGGGGGTCCCCAGAGCTGTGCAAGAGAGGGCTCCCTGGAATGTGTGCCTGACGGGCTCCAGGAAAACACGACCGCCTTTTACTCTGGCACAGGGCTTTTTTTCTGAGGCCCCAGCTGGTCCAGGCCTCCCCACTGCTCTCCCCTCCTGCAAACCACTCCCTCCCGAGCTAGGAGGCCCAGCCTTTCCCCGCTGAGGAAGGCCTCCCCCTTCCACCTCAAAGCGGGTCAAGCCCAGGGCGGAGTGACCCCCACCCATCCCTACCCTGGGAGTTCAGGCCCTGTGCACCCACCACCCCCTCTCCACCTGCCACAAAAAATGGGAAAGCGAAACAAACAGCCGGGATTCCCTCCTGAGCAAATGGCCAACTATTTGCTCTTTGCAAAGTGCTCCTGGCTTCTGGGAGAAGGGATTCCTGGTCCCGTCCTTGCAACATTTCTTACTCCAGCCCCGGGCAGGTTTTCTCCCCCTCCTGCTCCCCATAGGCGGCTGAGCCCCCACTCCTCACAACACGGGGCAGGTAAGGGCAGCCTGGAAGAGGAGTGCTGGTGGTTTCGGAGCCGCCAAACCTTAGC